CTTCGGCTAGCCTGAGGCAGCAGCTCCACGCTCTAAGTCCTCATCTGATGCCCTGCCGGCACTACTTCCGGCCATCCTTAACCCCGGTTCAGGGTCCACTTAATGTGGACATGCTAGTTCGAATTAGCAAAACGCTAATTCGAACTAGTTTTTTAGTCTGGATCCGTTAGTTCGAATTAGCTTAGTTCGAATTAAGTAATTCGAACTAAGTTAGTTCGAATTAACGTTGTAGTGTAGACATACCCTCTGATCTGACATCCCACAGAGAAAAGTTACTTTTGTTCCTTAAGCTAGCTGGGAAGGCAAGTCAGCCTGGCTATAAAAGCAATTCTGGTTATTGTACTAGATCATTTGTGTGTTGTGTGTGAACAGGTAGATCTGTCATTTCTTAAAAGTGGTAACAGAGAATGTTGGAGGGAAGGAAGAGGCTTTTTCCCCTTTCCTCCTTTTGAGCTTCTCTTTATGATGCATTCCAGTGACAGCACAGCTTCCTGGAGCAGATCGGTACACAGGAGGAAAAATTATCTTCATTGATACCGAAAATACTTTGTATCTTTTTTACTTAAACAAGTTGCAGGCTTGATAGAAAGGGAAATCGGTGCATCTTATAAAATGAGTACAATACCCTCATAATCTTCTGATGGAGTGCATTTTGTTGCAGAAAGCAGAAAAGATGCTCTAAATGGCTCAAAAGTAAAGCACTGTCTATCAAATGTGGCCCATGGCCATCATGAAGAAAAACAAAGTCAGTGCTGTCCACAACAGTTTATTCTTATAATAAATGACTAAAGCAAGATGATTTACATATTGTGGTTTGGACATGGTGTTTTTTATCCCTAGGTAATTTGTTATAATCCAACCCAAATGTAGGGAGGTAGAGAGTGGGGTCAAGATACAGATGTTATTTTATATTTCTATTTGTGTAGTTTAGTATGCTCATCTTTTTAATATCTAGGTGATAGAAACTTTTCATGTCCAGTTTACTGTTTCAACAGTGATTCCGCTGTTACCATCTCACAGCTTTCTGATGGGCTGCATAAAATAAGTTTGCTTTCTGTGTTCCAGTTAGTCTGTATTACAAAAGCAAAACACATCACCAAGTCCATAAGCATTAATTGTTCCTTTTGTAGGCAGTGTCAGCAGAGGCCAAGGCCTTGTCTGGAAGCTGTGTCTTTGAACTTGAATTTGACAGGTTTTCATTAATTTGTGTGATGTATATAAAGAGAATCCTTAACTCTAACATATCGCAGCCGTCCAGATCGTCTTCGTGACATTGCTGATCGCTTCAATGTAGACCATGATGCAGTGCTTGACAACGTGCTTTATGCACGTGCATATACCAGTAAGATTATCATTGAATGGGCACAAACAACATCCTCCCCGCAACCCCACCTAATTCTGCTGTTTTAGCAGTTCTCAGTTTATTGGCTGAGACCTTCTTCTAAGTGTCACTATCACATTTTTCTGGATAGAGGGAGTCACAAGCCTGCTGGTTGCTTCAGTTTTCTATTGTGGTCCTCTGCTGCTGTAGCTGTGCTCAGGATAAAGTGGTGCTACTCAGCCTCATTCTATAAGGTGCCACAGGACTCTTCGTCACTTTTGCAGATTCAGACTAACACGGCTACCCCTCTGATACTTGTCAGCCTCATTCTGTAAACTATGTAGCAAATTCCAGAAATATTAAGGACTTGTCTATACAGAGATTTAGATCAGATTAAGTTAATTCAGTTTCAAAATGCATACATACAGCATAATTCATTATAGCACATTAACCGGATTCAGACTAACATTGAAGGAGGCATAAGGGATCTGTCGAAAAAGGCTTTCTTTCTTGACAGATCCCCCTCTAGACTTCTGCTTTTTGCTGACAAAGTGCTGAGTCAGCAAAACACAGTGGCCATTTTTATGCAAATTAGGTGTGGGATATTTAAATCTCTGCCTCATTTGCAATGTCGACCTGCCTAATCTGCATCCCTTTGCCAACAGAGGGATGCAGTCTAGACATACCCACAGATATATTATGCTATACTGCTGTTAGTCTCTGTTCCAGGTATTCCATGGCAACAGTCATTTTTGTCATATGTTTATCCTGCCCCCAACCTCCTCCAGCTGACCCTGCCTGACCTCTCTCAATGCACTTTTTCAAAAAGGGAAAACTGATAGAATTGAGCTTGTTTAGCATAGAAAAGAGAAGACTGAGGGGGGACATGATAGCAGCTTTCAAGTATCTAAAAGTATGTTACAAGGAGGAGAGAGAAATTGTTCTCCTTGGCCTCTGATGATAGGACAAGAAGCAATGGGTTTAAATTGCAGCAAGGGAGGTTTAGGTTGGACATAGGAAAAACTTCCTAACAGTCAGGATGGTTAAACACTGGAATAAATTGCTTAGAGAGGTTGTGGAATCTCCATCACTGGAGATATTTAAGAGCAGGTTGGATAGGCACCTATCAGGGACAATCTGTGCCATGAAGGCAGGGGACTAGACTCAGTGACTTCTCAAGGTCCCTTCCAGTTCTAGGATTCTATGGAAATGGAAGCTGCTCCAACTGGACAATAAGCCTTTGTGTCATGCTGAAGCCCTGACCATCAGCCACTTTGAAGCCCACACTGTGGAGGACAGAAGCAAAAGCCTTTCCTCCTCACAGTCTCATTCACCAGCTCAGCATGGCCTCAGGCAGTATGATGCAATCCTAGCCTACACTCAAATTCCCTAACACAGCAGATCAAATAATTAAAACATTCATTTTTGTGAAAATCATCAGTTTATTGAGAGACTGGTTGCAGGGAAAGAAGTTTGGTTAGTATCCTCACTTTACATGAGGTAGATGTGGACATTGCATGCTCATAAAAGTACAAAGACTACAGCTCCCACTCAGGTATCAGTGTCCTATTGCACACAGTCTTACAGAGATAGAGCTTTTCCTTAGGGACAGTATAATTCTTAGTGGCTTTTCACAGTCTTAAATGCAGATAGACTGGCAATAATCAATGCTTCAAATAATCATTGCTGAACTAGGTTTTTCTCTCAACTTTCATGATGTTTGTAGGAGCAAGAAAGCAAAATCAGAAGTTTCTCAGTTTTAGTCCAGACATGAGGGATAGCTACATGGTCGTTTCCCCAAGTATAGTTTGCAACAATGCCCTTCTCGTCATGCAGCACTTCAGAGGGGGACTTCCTTGGTAAATAACTTCACAGTTTATCTGGCAGGTCTGCCCTTTGCCTTTTTACACAAGGCCATGAGGGCAGGGGACTGGACTCGATGACCTCTTGAGGTCCCTTCCAGTTCTAGTGTGCTATGGTTCTCAGCTTCTTAGTCATGCACCTGAATGTAAAGTAATAAAGAATCAGGACAGCCTAAAGAGGATGTAGAGAAGTTTACTATCCTATACCCCCAGATTCCCCACAAACCTCAACACCATATGGTCCAAGAACAAGAAGATGCAGAACTGAGGCATATGCTCAGCTGTGACTTGAATCTCCCTCATCCTTGTTGTGTTCTGCCATCCATGGCACTGAATAACTTTGGATTTTGATTTTATTATGTTTTAATTAAAGGTTTGGTTTTGGTTGCTATGTAATAGATTGTATAATAATAACAATAATTATTTATTAAGAGTTATCAATGCATTTTACACAGAAACTGCCTAAAAAAATAGGGTTTTACTTAAGTATTGAGTCACAGATCCAAGATGAAATAAGGATTGCCATAGTGGTCAGCTTTCATTATCCATAAACAAGATTGTATTGCCCACAATTCATCCCAGCCATTCCCATCTGCCGTAAGAATAGTAGGCATCCCTGACAGTATTGTCCTTTCAGTTTCCATTTCTGTTGGAGACCTTGTTAGTTGTTAAAACTGCTGAGCAAGTCTCTGCATCTCAGTCTCCCATCTATCATTAAGGCTTTCTCTCTTACTCTCACAAATTATTATGCATATACAACACGAAGCCTATCATCTTTCTGCAGCTTCCAGCTTACTCCACAAACAATACCTGCCAAATGCACGCTCCACTGCTATTCTGAAGCTACCAAAATAATAAAGTTACCTCCCAAATGAGCTGTGAATGGTTTCATTAACCAGGATACCACAGGATAAACCTGATCTCCCCAGATAACAGGAGCAGTCTCCATATTTCATGTCCATAATGATCCTGGAGACAGACAGTCCTTTATTCATGAAGATAAACAGAGCTGAGTTTCAAAAGATATTCCAAAAGGAATATCCCTTTTTATTTATTTATAAATTCTGAGCCTTGAAGAGTGGCGGGGGGGGGGGGGGGGGAGAAACACAAATAGTATGTACATGGGACTAATCAGTTGCCCCGTTATAGTGTGGGAACCCCATAAATAAAGTCATCAATAGTCTCATGAGCATTGGCAAGCTTTATAACTTGGTGCAACAGTACCTTATTCAGAGCATCATATATCTGCATGACAATGGCCCCAATAGTAGGCCTCCCTACATCAAATTGGCTGGTTATAGATAGCAACAGTGGGGGTGGCCAGCTACAAGAAGCAACCTGCTTCTTTGTGAGAATGGAGTGCTGCATGTTGGTTAGCTGCGACTGCAGCTCCAGGACTAGTTCACATATTTTTAAAAAAGGTTGCCTTCTTTCCCACCCTGAAATTCTCTTCTCAATGCAGATCATCCCAGGTCTGTCAAACAATTCTTTCCCACCAATTGATGCTGGTTTTCTGAGCCCAGAAACAATGTTCCATGTTGTAAAGCTGCTCCAGGAACAGCTTCTTGTTGTGTGATGTCATCCTCTTCTTCCTTGTCCTGCTTCCTCAGCTGCCACCAAAGGTCCTACCGCTGCTGCTGGAGAACTGGCTGCTACTGCCACATCATCTATTTTGAGAGTTGAAATACAGCCCAAGCAGCCTCTGTGGGTTCCCACTTGCCATCACAGATCACTGTTGTCTGTGCTGGCCAACAGCAAATTGAAAATTGCACTAACGTTCCCAGAAAAAATGACGAGGAGTCCTATGTCACCTTAGAGAATCCTCATTGTTTTTACAGATACAGACTAACATGGCTACTCCTCTGAGTCATTCCCAGAAAAGAAAGATGGGACATTGAAAATGGAAACATTGGTTTATTTTAAAATTTGAACCTACATGGGTTCCCCCATGAATCCTATAACGTACAGGGAGATACAGCTATTAGTGCAGCTTGCATATTGTGCGTTATATAGCACCTATTAAATCAATCTGATTTAACCCTACTGTGTAGACAAACCCTAAGTGAACTCCATGTTTTATAATATTTGTGCACAAACGTGGTATCTGAATTTGGCAACGTCATGTACATTTTTAAATTGAGTTTTTTATTAAGTTAAATATGAAAATGAATTATGCAATTAGTATAATATTTCTTGTTTTAATGAATTTCAGAGTAAATTCATTTCACATTGTCTCTCCATTTACACTGTTCTGCAGAATGGTGTCCGGAAACATAGTAGAAATTGTCTTGGGGAATGTGAAGGTTTTGGTAATTGAATAGAAAGCAGTTGGAACCTGTAGATGCATGAAAGGCAGTTGTAGATTGCGGGGTAAACACATTAGTTAGAATTGTTACTAAAATTATTAGTAGTGAAATTCTAAACAATTTTGACATTTACACTATCATCTTATATTTAATTTCATACGAATGAAGCAATTCATGTCCCTCAAGTGCACTAATTTACAATTTGAAATTGTATTTTTTAACCATAAACACCAGGAACTTAATGTTTCAAGAATGAAAACAAATATTCTTCTTCGAGGAGTTCCCGTGGGTGCTCCACTGTAGGTCCTGGGCTTGCCCCGGCGCCGCAGGACGGAAGTTTTTGCAGCAGTAGTCCTGCCAGACAGCGCATGTGCGGGGAGCATCTCGCGGCTTTTGCGCCCCTTTCGCGCTGCTCGGTCCAGTCTGAGCCAGTTCCTCTTAACTGCCTCAGGCTGTAGACAGAGCAACGCTCTTCTCCCTGGACCTCTTCGGTTGTGAGGAATTCAGGCTTGTTCATTGTTAAAAATTAGTTTCTACTTACCTTTTCCCCTCTTCGGAGTTTCACCTGTTACTGTTTAAAAAAAAGGGGGGGGGGGAGTTTTTCCTGAAAAGTTTAAAGTTCCCAGTTGGTGGTTCTTACTATCTTAAAGTTGTTTACCTTCAATATAAGTTGACGTTTCTTCTCCCAGTTCATTCCTTCCCTGTTTAAAAAAAAAAGAGAGAGAGATTTTATTCTTACATGGACAGCTAGTCTCTGACTGCAACAATGTCCGGCTCCCCGGGATTCAAAAAATGCAACGTATGCTGAGAGGCCATGCCTGCCTCAGACAGCCACTCCTCCTGTATTCGGTGTTTAGGAGAGGGCCATATCCCACAAAAATGCCCTCATTGCTCCAAGCTCACATCCAGAGCGAGACGTGATAGGGAAATGAGGCTCAGGATGACTCTCTTTGATAAGGCCCTACAGCCTCAGGGATCCGCGCCTGTCCCTCCCTGGAGCCACAGAAGCAGAGCCTCCTCTTCTACCACCATGCCTCGCAGAAAGACTAAGCCGTCTCCGACCTGCTCTCTGCCTGCCACTTCGCACGGCAAATTGAGCATTGGCTCCAAACCTGGCACTTCTGACCTGTCCAAACCGCGGCTGGTACCATCTAAAGCGGCGAAATCTGGATCCTCAGTGCCAATAGTGAATCATCCATCAGCACCAAGGCCCACTGCTCCCGCAGTGTCTAGGCACATTACATTGGCACTGTCCGCACCGGCAAGTTCAGCTCGACCCACGCTGACGCCACCAGCACCAACCCCAAGACCAGCACCAACTGCAGCACCGATATTGCCAGCACTGCGGACGGCACCGGTCTCCACACCTCCTTCCGATAGACCGGACGATCCGGTACCGATATCAGCACCGACATGGGCACATCCCAGAAAGGCTACCGCAGTGGCAACGGAGCCTGTCTCTGGTGTTTTCTCCAGAATCCTCCTCACCTCCTCTACCCCAGTCGCCGAGGAGGTCACCACCTAGGAGGTTACCCTCCACGGAATGCCTGCCATCGCCTTTCTTAACACCGCCAAGGGAGCACCGGTACCAATCGGGTCAGTACCCTCTTCATCATTGCTTTTCCGTCTCTCCCTCTCCCTTGAGCCGAAGGTCCTACTCGCCTCCATTGTCTCCTCGATCTCCTAGCTACTCCTACAGGAGATCCTACAGCAGGTCTCATCATTACGACCGCTCACCATCCCGCTCCTCATACTATTATAGGGACCCATATGACAGATGGACCTACTGTAAAACCCATTCACAATCTCAGGAGGAACAGCTAGCCAAAAACTCAAAAAGCAATAGCAAAATGTTTTTTAAGTACATTAGAAGCAGGAAGCCTACTAAAAAAACAGTGGGTCCCTTAGATGATTGAGATACAAAAGGAGCAATCAAGGACAATAAAGCCATTGCGTAGCCAAAAACTCAAAAAGCAATAGCAAAATGTTTTTTAAGTACATTAGAAGCAGGAAGCCTACTAAAAAAACAGTGGGTCCCTTAGATGATTGAGATACAAAAGGAGCAATCAAGGACAATAAAGCCATTGCGGAGAAACTAAATGATTTCTTTGCTTCAGTCTTCACGGCTGACGATGATAAGGAGATTCCCAAATCTGCACCGTCCTTTATTGGTGATGAATCTGAGGAACTGTCCTGGATTGAAGTGTCATTAGAGGAGGTTTTGGAACACATAGAAAAACTTAACATTAACAAATCACCAGGACCGGATGGCATTCATCCAAGGGTTCTAAAAGAATTCAAGTGGGAAATTGCAGAGCTATTATCTGTGGTTTGTAACCTATCCTTTAAATTGGCTTCCGTACCTAATGACTGGACGATAGCTATCATGACACCAATATTTTAAAAGGGCTCTAGAGCCGATCCTGGCAATTATAGACCGGTAAGTCTAACTACAGTACCGGGCAAATTAGTCGAAACAATAATAAAGAATACAATTGTCAGGCATGTAGAAGAACATAATTTGTTGGACAAAAGTCAACATGGTTTCTGTAAAGGGAAATCGTGTCTTACTAATCTATTAGCGTTCTTTGAAGGGGTTAACAAACATGCAGGCAAGGGGGATCCAGTAGATATAGTATGTTTAGATTTTCAGAAAGCCTTTGACAAGGTCCCTCACCAAAGGCTCTTGTGTAAATTACATTGTCATGGGATAAGA